AAAATGACAAATCACATTCCCTGCAGCTAGGACTGGCATGCGGCAATGGCTGTTTAAACTTAGAAGGATTTGACTGTTCCCTTCCTTCACTAGCAGACTGCAGTGACAGTAGTCCAGGAACAGATTAAGCACTTCAGCTGCTTGTCGGTGTGAACCAGGCATTGAGATTGCTTTTCTGGGGGCCAGAAGGGGAGGCTGAAATTAGCTGGAGAGTGGAAAGCTGATAAATGTGCCAGGGTCGGGGGGGGTCGGGGGGGGAGGAAGAGATAGTTTCTGGCTCATGATAGTTCCACTCTGTGCTTGCTGCTGCTCCAGGCTCCTTCTGCTCCTGCAGTAACCTAGGCTACGCTGCATCTCAGAGCTGCTGGCGCTGTCTTTCTGTCAGGAACAAGGCCAGACAAACTTGGCCTCCTCTGGCTTTCTCATCTGCTGAAGGAAAATTATCATCTATTAATAGGGATCGGAAGAAGATTCAAAGACTCAATCAGCCCCCTTGTTCCAGTGGTAAAAGTGGGAGCGCTTCCAGGGAGGAAGAACTTGGCTGTTTGGAGGAGGAAATGTTGAGTTCCTATGTACTTTCCCAACACAACCGGCTGCCCCCCTCCCATGTCTGGAGACAGACTTGCAAGGCTTTCATGGTGGCTGCTCTCGCCCCCCCCCCCGCCCTTCCCCCACCTGTTCCCTGCCCATCTGTCCCTTGGATCAAAGTTTGGATGAAAGATCCCTGCAGGGGCTACGATACCTCTATTTGTACTAGGCTGGTCCCAAGCAGGGAGAACTCTGCTTTTCTTGAGTGGTGAGGGGCTGCTGGGGCAGGGCTGGCTACTCTGGGATGAAGGCATGTCTGGACTGAGGGGGGGGTGTCTCTCTTTTCTGGATTGGGCTCCTTCAGGTGCAATTTGGATTGCAGTTGTACGGAGGGGTTCCTCCGGCGCTACTGTTCTTGAGTGTGCCTTGCTTAATTTCCCCAATGAACTTCCAATTCTCCGTAGGAATGAAGGTGTGGATGGGATGATGCTGGAAACTGCACACCCACGAGTGAAAAGAGGATGTTGTTGAAATGTGGGGTTCTGATGAAGGCTGCATCTGTCATGAGTGCATGGAGGCAACCTCCGTTGTAACTTGTTCCCCCATGCACCTTTGCAGGGGGAATCCTCATGACCCCCACAGTGCAGTGGGGCACATTTCTAAGGGCACCAAAAAGCATAGGAATGACACGGGGGTAAGAGGGCTGCTCTACCTTCTGCCCCCTTGACAGCTCCCAGCCCTCTAATTTGGCCTGGGATAGTCCTGATGGCTAGTTAATCCTGAAAATCCTGACCCCAGTAACAGTGTATCTCCAAAATGGCCTGACAGGGCATGACCACAGCATGTGATTAAGAGATGAATCTAGGCACCAGCATTTTGATGATTTACAGAGACCCTTCCTAAAAAGGAGCCGTGCGGTCCAATAATAATAGATTGGAAGAATGGAAGCTGCAGAGCAAAAACGTCTGGAAAGCCAACACTGCTCGTGCCGCTGTAAAACAATGCTCATCCTGTGTAGGGCATTTTGGTCCTGTGTAGAAAAGTTCCTTAATTATCTGTGAGAGCAGCCAACTAGGGCAAGGTTGACAGGGCCAGAAAATGCTCAGTCGCAAACATGCTTCCCTGTAGCTTTGAAATGTTCATCATGTGGAATGACTGAACTGGACAGGATCCTGACTTGCCACATTTTGGTGGTTCCCTTGTCTTTTTCTTTGGGGATACAGAAGGAGCCTTCCTGGAGAATCTGAAAATGTTTGGGTGTCCCCTGAGCCATGAGGGCATCATCTGATCCTTCCACTCCAGAAGCACCAATGTGTTTTTTCTCCCCGTGTGTTAACGCTTTCCTTCTGGGTGTTTCACATGATGCGTTTGTCATATTAGGTGACTTTTGCACTGGTATCTATCAATCTGCTTGTGTTCACTCACTCTAAAAGGCCTCTTAAGCAGCTTAGCCAGCTTGTTGCCACGTCTCTGTGGCTGAACACACTGCCAGCCAGGCTTTCTTTCTGTCCCCATAAACCTGCTCCTGCAAAAGCCATGGGTCCCTCTTTTCCAATTTTACTCATCCTCTCCAAGAGCCTCAAGCAGAGAGCCCCGGCTCTCCAGTCCAGCTCAGTCGATACTTGACTGTTTCCCAGTAGAGTTCCTAGGCTGGAGCAAAACAGCTTCGCTTTTTGTCTCTCTGGAAACACTGCACTGTCCACAGCAGTCTGTCGCTGCCAAGAGCCTCGGAGAAAGTCAGGAGGGTTATGTAATAAAAACAAACCACAGCGGCAGGCTTTTGTAAGCGGTGCGCTTACAACTTTCCTCCTGTTGCTCTAGGGTATCTGACACCAGGGCTTGGTGGTGGGGAATAACTGCCCTGTTCATCCTTTGTCTCTCTGTCCTCCCTTCCCCAGGCTGTGAAAACATCTGGCGCTGGTTGTACAAGCACTTTGCATTACCATGTTTTTAGGAGGGGGGGGAAGCGGGTGTCATACTTTAGCTTGCACAGATTGTTCTTGAGTGCTGTTCCCACAACTAATTCTGCCCTGCTCAGCACCAGCCCTGCTTCCCGAGAGAGATTTTCCCATTATCTTCTGCTCTGATAGAAACCAAAGTTTACATTCCTTGCTTGACGGGAGCTCATGATCATGGTTAATTCTCTCCCCCCCACCATTACTGGTCTGAAACTTGGGGTGTAGCTATCTAAGAGGGCTGGATAACTCCCAGAATCTGGGGCCACCACTTCTGGCAGCAGCACCCTAACCCTTTTCCTTCCACGTTTTGGCTTAAAGAGAGAAACTCTGGGAACCACCAAAAAGCCCGTACTTACAGAGCTCAGGGTGGCTTGCAGGAGAAAAGGTGGGAAATCTCTATTCTCTGGGGCTGAATCCAGCCCCCCTGAGAGATCCCAGCGGGCCCTCTGAACTCCCCAGGCAGCCAGACTCCCCTCCATATGGCAGGGGTGGCTCCCCAGCCTTCATCTACTCTCTCTCTCCCCCACAAGACGGAAAAGGTTAAAATTTCTCCTTTAAGGAGAGGCTGGCATTTTTGGCCCACCATGCCCTTGTCTCTCAATTCGAACCCGGCCCTTGGAAGAGGTTCCTCACTTTTGCACTGAGTGGGCTTCTTTTTTTGGGGGGGGGGTTTTCCTTCTGGCACACTCAGCTTCCAGACAGGATGACTCACCCATCCCATTTTTTTCTCAAGATGGTTAATGAGGGCTTAATCTCATTAATTTAGCGCTGGCGTTTCCTTTTCGCTGCCAATGCCTGGTTTTTAAAATAAGCTTTTAGACCTTTTCATGGTTGTTTCTTGGCCAGTGCTCCTTCTTTTGATTCCTTTTGCTGATCATACCTCTATTGAAGGCAGGGGGCTTCTCATCTGTTTGCATACTGGCAATTTACGGTCTTCCTGCCCTTACATTTATGGGCTCCTGCTGGATGAACAGATGCATCTCTTTCCTAGCAGACCAAGGAGACAGTGATTCATTTCCATAGATCATAGCTGGGGAAAAAGGAAATGAGCAGGGCTTTGCCTTCTTGACAGGGCCATCAGTCAGCTTGATAGACAGGTTGTGTGGACGGCACCTGTATCGATTCACTGACACAAAACAGATGATGGAGAGCAATGGCCTTCCTGCTGTTGGGCTGATCATAAAGAGAAACTAGGATGTGCCACATATCCTTGCCCATAAGAGTTCCTTTCTGCTTTTGTATGGAACTATCTCCACTCTGAAAGACTGAATGCCCATATCTGAGGCTTACGCACTGACAGCAAGAGCTTTATGTTCAAATATTCTGATATTTTGGGACCGTCTTTTTGGCTTTTGCTCCACCCATCCTTGGAATGTGGTCCCCAAAAGTATTCTGAAATTGAACTGGACCCTCAGGTTAAAAGAGGCTCTCCACCTTTACTGCAATGGGCTCTCAAGCCAACCTCTTCTCAAGGGACATGGAAAAGGGCCAGATTCAGACAGAACATTCAGGAATGTAAGATCTTATTTTTGCTGAGCTTTCCAAGTGTAGTGTGAATCCCTCTAAATAGCTCTCATCCAGCATGGACCACAGCTACATTTACCCAGAGGAATGTTTGTTCTGTGGGCTGTTAACCAAAGTATAACTTGAGTTGGTTAATAGCTGAAGGTACCTTCCCAACTTTTTATCCAATGACAGCTTGTGTAAACAACTCTTCATCCCCGAGGTGTCCTGATATCTGTATTTTGCAAACTTTTATGGATGACTGCAACTTGTTTGGACATAAAATGTAACTACAAACAGCCTGGTTCACAAGGTTGGGCTCTATACATTTCCACCAGCAATTTTGAGCATAGATTTTTGAAAGCTCTCTGTAGGGTTTCTTTCGAGCCTTTAGTTCTCTGAAGGGTCTTACAATAGGCATTTAGGTTCTTTTCTTTCCTTTGATTACGTTAAACTCAGCAAAGCTTTTGGGCCAAAGATGGGTGGCTTGTGGCTGTTCAGGCATCACTGGATTGTCATCTGCCACCAACCCTTGCATGCCTGCTGGCCAGAGATGCTGCAAAATGCATTCCGATAGGTGCGCCCCATCCCACAAGTTGCGCCTTTCTACCCTAGTTTAAGGATGGTTTGATTTATAGGAGGGCCTTTGCAAATTTCCAGGCCCAGGCTCAGAGGTTACTTAAATGTAGGACTTTGAAATGATTATGCTTTTGAAAGTGCTGAATTTTGCTCTCCATAACAAGACCTGTGCCATTGTGCAGACTATGCATTAGCAGACTTCTAGGAATTTTAAGAAGGTCCTGCGCTGCCAGAAGAGTGAAATGTCACCCTACGCTGGCAGCCAAGAGTAGTCCTTATGCCAAACGGTGTAAAAGCCTCAACAGCCTGCTAGGCCAGATATCAAGTGTTTGTCAGCCTGGTTCTGATAAATCCGCCCCCCCAGACTTTTTCCTGACACATGTACTGTCTCTGCACTGTTTGCCGTAATGGTGTTTGGCTTTTATTTTTCAGATCCTTGGGGGACACAGGGCGTTGCATACAACTGGCCAAGATGTTGAAGAAAACCATGACAAGCTTTGGCAAGAAGCTGATCCGGCAGCGCACGGTGGACCTCAGCTCGCAGGAGACTCAGTTAGCCCGCTGCCTCTCCACTCTAGATCTGATCGCTCTGGGGGTGGGCAGCACCCTTGGGGCAGGTGTCTACGTTCTGTCAGGAGAAGTGGCCAAGGATCTAGCTGGCCCTTCCATTGTGATCTGCTTCTTCATTGCTGCAATCTCGTCGGTGTTGGCCGGCTTATGTTATGCAGAGTTTGGAGCCCGTGTGCCCAAGGCTGGCTCTGCCTACCTCTACAGCTATGTGACTGTTGGGGAGATTTGGGCCTTCACCACAGGATGGAACCTTATCCTCTCTTATATGATAGGTATGTATTGGAAAAGGGAGAGAAAAGCATCTTCAGCATATTTACTCTGCCAACCCCAGCCCTTTTAAGTTGGGAGTGTGAGAATGGGTGTTTATTAAGGAAGTCGAAAAGAACAGCAAAGCCATTGAATATTCCTAGGCTATGTTTTATAACGAATATCTACAATGGCAGCAGTGTCTATTACTACTGCTGTTCCTACAAACAGTAACACTCATTACATCCCTCTGCACTCAACGTCTGCCCGTAGGCAAAAACTTCTTTATTTGGGCAAGCCTTTAGCAATTAACGGCCATCTGATCAACAAGGATTTAGCTGAAGTGCTGGTTTTATTCTATTTGTTTGTTTTTAGCTAAAGTATTATTGATCTAATTTATTTAAAAGCAATTTCACTGTATTTAACGGAATTTGATTTGATTTTCATATTTGTAATTCATCGCATTTTAACTATATTATAAGCTCCTCCCAGTTCTGAGAGAAAAAGAGAAGATGGATGGATGGGTGAATAAATGATTGGTTGCAAGCCCACAGTCAAAGCAGCATAACTCTTTTCAAAATGGAAGAGACTTTTACATAAAATCAGTATCAACATGGTGGCAGAAGAAACAAACACTAAATGTCTTGGAAAAGAGAACCATTTTGGCCTTTGCTAAGTGCAGTTCTTATTTCCTTTCTTACTTTATTAGGAAGGATATATCCCTCTGCGGAAGGAACCCTTTCCCTGGTCATCATTCATCAAACCTTTGGCAGAGTGGGGGAGGTCTCAACATGGACCTTAAATTTCAAGTAGATCTTCGATTTTATAAGAGTCAATTGTCCTTTCAGTTCATGCTAAACAATGCAGATCTTTTCAGCATTACACTTTTCCAGTTATGCTGAGATAAGTTCAACACTAGCAATATGTACAAATCTCTGATCCGTCCTGGTTGCTAATAGAAGCGTTCTATATAGAGTGACTTTTCCCAAGTTCTCCTTGAAGGCCTGTGTATCATCTGCTGTGGGAGCCCAGTCTAGATCTTCTGACTGCATGAGTCACAGCAGCTAGGCCATCTGTGTCCCTATGCCTATGGCAAAAAGGGGTTTTTAGCCTTCCCCTCCTGGAGCACATGTCAGTTTTGCTCAGACAGCCACCTTTATCTGATGCACAAAAGCAAGGATTGAACACTTTGACAAGGAAAGCTGTGTGCTCCATCGGTAGGCTGGGTCTGTCCCATTGCATGGGTCAAACAAACAGGCTTCCGATATACCTTTCCAGTTCTTGGAAATCAGTGGTGGTGTTCCCACCGCTGTGAGGGCTTCTGATATACCTTTCCAGTTCTTGGAATCAGTGGTGGTGTTCCCACCGCTGTGAGGAAATACAGAGAGGCCGTTTCCATTGCCTCTGGGGGCTGATGCAGAAGGAGCGGGTGTGAATTCAAAAGGAGCGGGTGCTTTGTTGTTATTCTGTCTAACGGAACGCTCTCCTTTTTTATCGATTGGCAGGAACAGCTAGTGTGGCTCGGGCCTGGAGCTCCACTTTTGACCACATCATTGGAGACCACATCTCTGCTTTTTTCCACAACAGAACAGCCTTGCATGTGGAAAACGTGCTGGCTGAGTATCCAGACTTCTTTGCTCTCTTCTTGGTCTTGCTTCTTACAGGTGAGATTCTCATACAGGAGTGAAGCAGGGGAGATAATGCCCTGTGGACGCTTGCTTTCTTGGCTGCATAGCTGAGTGGGTCTCAGCTGGAGGCCAAGGTCCTTTTAGGGCTTGTTCTTCAAGTGCTTGCTTTGTTGTTATTCTGTAAAGGCCCTTAAGGTTCCCTGTAGATGTCACTTCAGAATAGCATCTACCTCTCAACAGCAGCACAATTAATGATAAAAACTGCAAATAAGCATTAAAAGGACATGAAACCTAACAGGAGGAGGACCTATGGTTCTTAATGACCTGGACAGTTTTATAAATTGATTCATGGTGTGGAGGAAATGGATAGCAAGTTTATGGTAGAACTCAATGGGTCATCCATGGAAGCCGAATAATGGGAGGCTTAAATCAAATAAAAGGAAGTATTTCCTCCAATATTTATAGTCAGACTGTAGAATTCCTTGCTTCAGAAGACAAATCCAGGTAAGCTAAGATTATGCCCCCCTCTTGCCCCCAGTATCAGATGCAGCATGTCTCCTGGCCAATTGCTGGTGGATGGACCAGAGTGGGTGGTTCCTGTTGTCCATATGACCTGTTTCTCTGCTTTCCATTGGTGCATCTGGCTGTTTATCACAGAGAATGGGATGTCAGACCAGATGGGCCTTTGGTGTAATCCAATAGAGCTATTAAGTGTTTGCTGTTAAATGCTCAGGGTAAGGAACAATGAACCTGGAGGAGGTCCTAACCAGTAATGAATAGGTGCAAAAATGTTGTCCAAGTACTCAAGTCCCAGACTGATTCATAAGTTAAACACGTTCTTGGAACTAAATGGATTCCATCCTAGAACAAGTGGAAATGATTCTAAAAGAAAGCCCGGCCACCGTCAATGGGCAAACACATCAAGGAAGTCTTAAAGAGAGGTGGCATCTCATGCCTTATTTATTTCACATTGTCTCCATCTTTCAGCCTTGTTATCATTTGGAGTGAGTGAATCTGCCCTGGTGAACAAGATCTTCACGGCCATCAACTTGCTTGTCCTCACCTTTGTCATCATTGCTGGTTTCATAAAAGGAGATGTCAAGAACTGGAATTTGTCTGAAGAAGATTTTCAGAACCGATCACAGGAATCTGGAAACAAGTAAGGGCTCCTTTAATTTATACACTGCCTGCCTTCAAAAAACTAGGACTTGAGGCAGGGCTTACAAAAACATTATAAACAAGCATGAATAAAGAATAAGAATAAGAATAAGAATACAAGCATGAATAAAGAATAATAATAATAATAAAGCTAGTGCAGAAATGCAAACAAATTAAATGCATGTTGAAAGCAAATAGGTGATGATAGTGTAGGGCATTAAATGTCCCGTCTCCAGCAGCCAGTTGCCAAAAGGCCACTAACAAGGTCTTGGCTGGTCCATGTGCGTTTCTTTCCCCCTCCTCCTGTTCATTGCATCTGCTCTGTGGGCAGGGATCATCAGCCATCTCCTCTTGACCTGTTTGCGCTTTCAGACTGGACTGCTGCAGCTTCTTGCTGCCCAGCCGCCTTACCATCCTGAGCACCAGTGGTGGAGATGGGAGGGAGGGGAAAAGGGGAATGGAAGCAGCAGGGAGGAGGAAGATGCTCCATGGTGAGGCCTGGTTGAGGGAGGATCAGGCCCGTGGACCATTTCACGAAGGACCTGGGTTTCTGAAGGGAGACTGGCACTGTATCTTTCTTACTCTTCCAGAGCGGGCCCCTTTGGTAATGGCGGCTTTTTCCCCTTTGGCTTTGAGGGGATTCTGTCGGGAGCTGCCACCTGCTTCTATGCCTTTGTTGGATTTGACTGTATTGCAACAACAGGTAAAAATTGCCGCTTTTTGTGAGGCGGGGTGGGACAATCTGTTAATTTTTGTGCTTCCCTTCATCAACGAGCAGTGCATATTTTGGAGTGAATGCAATCTTAGACTGGATTAATAGAAGCTGTGTGTACAGATAATGGAATTCTGTACTTCCTTGGTCAGAACATACCTAGGGAACAGAATCCTGTTCTGGGCAACACATTTTAAGATGCACATTTTGGATTTGCTCCCTCTGTGATGCAGCAGAAGACACAGGATCTCTGCTCAGTCCCAGGAGAGGCTGAGCAACGCTTCTATATCAACATGTGCTCCTTGCAGAAACTTTCCTGATTTTTGTTTTGGGAAATGAGTCATTAGAAATGCCAGTTACTTCCATGGCTGGCTGCTTTGAACAGCAAACCCTTCATACATAGAGATGATCTGTGCCTAAGAGATAGAGTTGCGACACAAGGGGCACCTCCGCTGTGCTCATTAAAATACAGGTGGCTGGCTTGAGTGGGGGATTCTTATCACTTTGCCTACTTAGGCCTAGTAAAGGAGGGAAATTTCCATTTAATTTTTCCTTGGCTCGTTCATCCTTGCAGGGGAGGAAGCACGTAACCCCCAGCGGGCAATCCCCATTGGCATCATCGTCTCCCTCCTCATCTGCTTTGTGGCCTACTTCGGAGTTTCTGCTTCCTTGACTTTGATGGTTCCTTATTTCCTGGTGGACAAGGAGAGTCCCCTGCCGGATGCCTTCAAGGCTGTGGGTTGGGAGCCTGCCCGCTATGTTGTTGCCATTGGCTCACTCTGTGCCCTCTCTACAAGGTAAGGAATAATAATAATAATAATAATAATAATAATAATAATAATAATAATAATAATAATAATAATAATAATAAAAAAATGAGGCAGACGTGATGCAGAAGTTTCTTTTGCTCTATCTAGCTAAGCCACAGTTGGCCTCTTAATTTATTTTGACTATTCCTGGGTTTTTTATTTTTTAGCCTGACTTCTCACCAAATGCATCAAGGTGCTTAGCAAACAAATGGCGACACAGCTGAGCAAGTGCCCTCAAGAAGAGAAGAGTAGTCCATTAAAAACAGTAGACAACACATACATCAAATTATCACTAACACTTAAAAGACCTACTCCAAACTAGAAGAGGAAGAAAGACAATTAAAGTTATTTAAAAACAATTACAGGTCATTAAATGCTCAATGGAAAAGGAAGTCCATCTAATATCTAAAGCAGCGGAAAAAAGGCTTGGAGGGCCAAAGGATCTTTTTCTAACCAGACCCACTATGCTCTGCACCAGAAAACAACTTCATTTAAAAAAAAAAACAGGTTCCCTTTTGATAAAACAAGATGCACATGTGCAGCTTTGCTTTAGAGAAGTGTGCCTTTCAGGGGCCTGATCCTCCTATTGTGTAAAAGCAGGACATTGCTGGGTAAAGCTCTGTGGCTACGTGTATTCCTGCCCCAACTCTCGTGGCTGCTTTCAGATGCCCCCAGATTCTGACGTCATGACTCGTAACTTCTGTCCAATGCAGCTTGCTTGGCTCCATGTTCCCCATGCCACGAGTGATCTATGCCATGGCTGAAGATGGGCTTCTCTTCAAGTTTCTGTTCCGGGTACATAGCCGGACCAAGACTCCCTTGGTGGCCACTGTTGTGTCAGGCATCATTGCTGGTAAGTCTACTTTTGTGAGTCTCCCTTCTTTGTCATCTTCTTCTTCTTCCTCTTTTGCACGACATCAAGGTTCACACAGAGCCTGTTCTCTTGCAGCCCTGATGGCATTTCTCTTTGAGCTGAGGGACCTGGTCAACCTCATGTCCATTGGTACTCTGCTGGCCTACTCCCTGGTGGCTGTCTGTGTGCTTATCCTCAGGTGGGTTCCTCTTGGGGTCACTGAAATTCTAGGGTGGGGATGTGTCACGCCAAGGGCCCTGATGCCAGGTTCTCACCTCAGGGGCTACAAGGGGCACACTGATCCCCTGAAGTAAAATAGTCTAGAAGAAAACCAGAAGTGGTCAGAAGCTGAACGATAAAGATGCTTTTTTTGGATTTTCATAAGGCATTGTGGGAAATGAGTCTTCTTTGAAAGGATAATGGCCACTTTGGATGATACCAGGCCTGGCAGGGTTCCCCCCACAACAAAGCCCCCCCCCAATGCCCCTTTTGGTATGGTGATCCAAAGTCTACAAAAACAGCCTGGTGACCTTATGCAGCCTATGTGGCTCCTCACTCCTCTTCAATGTGCTGTTCTCCAAGTCATGTCTAGGCATCAAACCACCCTGGACCACCAGGGTCTTTACTGAACCTTTGGTTTTGCTGACAGGTATCAACCTGAGCCATGCGCCTACTCCAAAGATGTGGAAATGCTCGAGATGAACGGAAGCGAAGAAGAGAAAGTGATCATGAATCTTGCAGTCAGCGACAGCCAAACTAGACTCAAAGAAAAGTTTACTTGGAAGAAGCTTTTCTGCCCTTCTGAGGATATGCCAACTGGCATCTCTGGGCGCATTGTCTACATCAGCAGCACTGTCATCTGTAAGTGTCGGTGGAAGTGGGACAAAAATCGGATGGTTCGAGGTCATTTGGAGAGGTAGAACTTGGAGGGACCTTGCAGATGTGCTATTAAGGCCAAAGATGCTTTTAAGTGGTACTGCACAGGGTTCCAGAGTGAGGCTGTGGAGATGGCTACCTGGTAACCCTTGATGATCTGAATCAATTTAGGTCCTTCTACTCTCTCTCTCTCTCCTGAGGCTTTCCCAATGACTATTGCCTACTTTCCTGTAACTCCTCCATGTAGTGGTTTGCTACGTTTTGTGAGTTTTTCCCTCTCCCCTTTGAAAAGGTAGAAAATGTATCTTCCAAGGCTTAGTTACTGCCAGTTAGAGTAAGTAGATGATGGTCCTTTTTTAAATTTGGTTATTATTGAAATATGGAACCCAGTAACATCTCTAAAATCGAACCTGTCTCTTGGGCTGAATAGAGGTTCCCCATCTTTGTTCCTGGCACTGAGAATCTTGCACACCTTGGTCTCTGGTTCTGAGAACAGCTGAAAGAGACTTGGTTTCTGGTTCCCTTTTCTTGCAGCTGTCATGATCACTGCTTTGTGCGGCATCCTCGCACAGAACTGGGAAGCACTCTTGGAAAGGAGTGTTGGCTGGGTCCTGGCCTCTGCGCTTCTCCTGGCTGTTTCGGTTCTTGGCACCATCATCATCTGGAGGCAGCCAGAAAGCAAGACTCGTCTCACTTTCAAAGTAAGAATGCTGGAAAGCCCTTCCTAGAAAGCAGTCTGCTGGTTTCACATCCTGATGAAATCGTTCTGACACTGATGACATTTTAGATATTTACTTAATAATAAGACTATAATAAGACTATAAATATAGGGACGTGGTGGCGCTGCGGGCTAAACCGCAGAAGCCTGTGCTGCAGAGTCAGAAGCACAAGCAGTTCTAAGATCGAATCCACGTGACGGAGTGAGCTCCCGTCGCTTGTCCCAGCTCCCGCCAACCTAGCGGTTCGAAAGCATGCAAATGCGAGTAGATAAATAGGGACCACTTCGGTGGGAAGGTAACAGCGTTCCGTGTCTAAGTCGCACTGGCCATGTGACGACGGAAGATTGTCTTCGGACAAACGCTGGCTCTATGGCTTGGAAACGGGGATGGGCACTGGCCCCTAGAGTCGAACACGACTGGACAAAAAAAATTGTCAAGGGGAACCTTTACTTTTACCTTTAAGACTATAATAGGTTGTGGAAAAGTCTTTGTTTTGAAATGTGTTACTGAAAGCTGTCTAGCTATTGCCTATCGCACTTCCTGCAGAACTGATGTCATCTTAACGGGCAGTTCCACACAAGAGTGTGTTCCAGAGGTTTAACTGGCAAGTTACCAGGTCGGGGCCAGATATGCCAGTTTATGTATTTTTATCCCTTACAGGTTCCTGCCCTGCCACTCCTCCCGCTGCTCAGTATCTTCGTGAATATCTATCTGATGATGCAGCTGGATGCAGGGACTTGGGTCCGCTTTTCAATTTGGATGGCCATAGGTAAGAAGGCCCACTTGTGAAGTACTTCTCTACAGGGAGTGGTACCAGCGGAGGCTACTGGGTGGTGCAGTCACTTGCTTGCTGTTGCTGGGAGCAGAGGAAAGAAGGAAGACGGGCTGTAGGATCTATAGCACCTCGTGCTCCTGTGACCACAGACCTCCACTTCTCTTTCAGGCTTTGCCATTTATTTTGGCTACGGGATCTGGCACAGCGAAGAGGGGCAGGTGGCTCGGCAGTCCCAGTCAGCATCCACTAAGCCTCTGGATTCGCCTAGCGCTGACCTGAACCAAGACATGGCGACATGAGATGGTGGAAGTTTATTCCCTGGTCACCATCTGTACACGATGGGTGCTCAGTTTTCTCACCCTACCTCCTGACCTTCCCCGACAAAAGCAGGAGACAAATGAATCCTAGGTCTCTCTAGCATACGGTAATAAACTTGCATCAATCATGTCATCCTGCAGAAGAGGCAAATGAAGCCAACACCGGGCAGAAGGTGAGGTAGATACAAAGCACAGCCAATTCCTCTGGTCTTGGGGCGGGGCGGGGGGGCGGGAAGGGGATCTAACACCTGAAAGTGAAACTCAATGTCTGTATTAATTCCATCTGGCCTGCTTGGCCAGGGGGCACCTTTGTCTACATGTACATCAAAATGTCAAGATGTTTGAAGCCCCTTTATACCCTGCAGTTATAAAGCTTTCTGTTTTTCTTTTTTAACTATTGTTTCTGGGTTGTTGTGCAAAATGTTAAGTGTTTTGTATGATTAAAACTCCCAAAGACGGTTGGTTTGTTTTTTTAAAGGAAGATTTACTCTAACTTGCTGTTTTGTTGTTTATTTTCTCTCAGTTCAACAGCCAGGAACCTGAGTGGTGATTTTTCTCAACATATTAAATGCTTTCTACCATTGAAACTATAATAATTATACTACGGCTGTGTCAAATCGGCTTTGGCAGCTCAATCCTCCTTTAAGCTGAAGCACAATCTCTTGACTAGCAGTAGCTGGTCTGAGGTCTCCTCTGGCTGTTCCTGAAGGATCAGCTAGGAATTGCTAGGAACTTCAGCTCTCCTCTCCCTCATACAATGTCTACCATTGTTTAAAAAAAAAAGGAGCTCTGCAGGTGTATCCACTTAGAACAGGGATGGTGAACCTTCTTCCACAGGTAGGTTATTACAATTTGGGAAGCTCTACGGGGAGGAGTGCCAAATACAATCCTCACAATTTCAGACATTACCCATGAAGCCCACAAGCAGAGTTCAGTTCTGTGCCTTTTCCTCAGGAACAAACTCTACAGCAAAAACTTTTTTTAAAAACCTACGAAACGCAGCTCAGTTCCACAAAGATTACTTTAACTTTAAATACCCTATTTTTTCCAACTGCTGATTAGAAAGAAAGAATAGCTTGCTGGGCCCACTGGAAAACTGGCAGCCTGATGTGGTCTTCTAAAAACACTTATCCTTTTCATTCCTGTGCAGGTGCAACACAATGCCTTTAGAACAAAGCAGGCCCAGTTTGGTGTTGACACTGCCTTAATTCCTCGTGCAAAGCCAAAATGGTCTTGTAACATAATACAGCCTTAAAGTGTATGAGCTAAGGCAGGAGAAGGAAATGGAAGGTCCCTCAGATCTTGATAGATTTCGCCATCTACCAGGTAACCAGCTCAGCCAATGATGATGGAACTGCCACCCAACATGTGGAGGGCCACAGATTGCATGCCCCACTGCTAAGGGGTTACAGCAGTGGAATCAGCCTGATCAGAGTTAGGGTGGAGATGATGCACCTGATCCTAGAATAGAATCCTAGAATAACAGAATTAAAAGAGGCCCGTAAGGCTGTGGAGTCCAAACCCCTACATAAGGCAGGAATCCAAATCAAAGTATAACTGACAGATAGTTATCTAACTTTCTCTTGAATGCCTTCAACAATGGAGCACTTAAGACCTCCGGAGGTAATAGATTCCATTGTTGTACTGCTCTAAGAGTTAAGAAGTTTCTCTTGATATTCAGGCAAAATCTGGTGTCCTGTGACTTGAGGCCTTTATGACTTGTTCTGCACTTGGAGATGACTGAGAACAGATCCTGCAACCTACCTTTCAAAAACCACAGCTCTGGAGGTACCCAGTGTTGTGAGGTCCCCTAATACACTTCTGGACCCACTGGTTTCTACAATGAGAGTCTCACGTGGCTGAACACGGAGAAATCCAGGCTGAATGCAGAGACCTACAAATTTCTAAACATGCCATCCCTGTAATTTGGCTACTTGGAAATTGACTTAGTGGATGACAATGAGCTCATTCTGCCAGCTGGCCAATGTCCAGACCATGAGAGAACTAAGGCTGCTAGATCCTTATCTGCTATAAATCAGTTCTGACAGAACAGATTGTAAATTAAGCTAATGAAGAACCACTGGCTCCAGGCTAATGCAAATGCTTAGATCCACCCATCGCAAACAAAATGCCAGAAGCTGAAATATTGTTTTAGGTCTGCTGGTAGTTCTTTAATTTGCTCCTTTTTGGTGGTTCCGTGAATTAGACTATGCTGAGCACTTAAGATCACATTGTATGTGATTTGTATACAAAACATACAATTTAGGTTACAAAATAACCATGATCACAACTGACAACTAGGGAGATACTGGGCAACCAGTTCCTTTTCTCAATTAAAAACCCTTTTCACTTGGAAAAAATAATGCTGGGGCTTCCACAGAAAACTCACCAATGACATTTCTGATGTTCACATGTTTGGGTGCACACTCCCAATTCCACCTGTGACAAGCCAAGACTCTTTATAGGCTGAATCTGTGCCAAACACACAAGCCTTCTGAAGCCTATTAGCACAACTCTGTCCCAGGATGTTGGCTTCATTTGCCTACTAAAAGAACAACAGAGCATCAGGAAGTTAAGCCACCAGAGGATTCCGGTAGGAAGAAACTGAGGGATGATTCTTGGAATGTACAGATGCTCAGTCCATTTCATACTACTATAGCTTCCATCTATAAGCAGCTAGGCATCCCACACAGAATAAGCCAGGGAGTTTATTGCTTTGTCTTTGAATGGCTACATGTGAGTAACAATGATGTAACTTGAATGTGATGTGGCATCCTGCTATACGTGTTGGACCAAATAAAAAGTACTGCTACTCCCCCGTATGCTTTGTGGTCTGGGAGCCAAACACCAGAAAGCAAAAGTTTGGGATGGTGGCGGTAGTTGCTGCAAGGCAGCCTGGAACTTTCTTCAGTCCTGGGGGTTGGTACATGGTTGTATGGTCAGAGAGGAAGCAGAAGAGCTGCCAGGGCACAGTTGGGTTGAGAAATGGGAAGCCGAGTTTCTTAAGACAAAGGAAGATTGCCAACCCTTTACGCCGAGCAGGATAAATAGTCTCAGACACACTGAACAGGATGAACTGAATCCTGCTTAGGAAAAGTGCGCCAGGAACAAATAAAGGATGCATTGTGGGAACAGCAGAGGTAGATGTGCTGTAATCTAGCCTCTACACCAAAAACATAGCTGCACCTCATAGCACAGGAAAAATGAAAAGAGAAAAGAAGTGAACACAGCAATGAAGAGGAGATAAACTCTTATGAAAGTGCCACAATGTTTTATTCACACTTTGGGGTCAAGCACTTTCATTAGAGCTAAATAAGTTATGAAAAGATACACACATTTTAAAATAAATTAAATTTAAAATGTTTAAGAAGTTACACACACTTTTTTTGCAATGACCAAAGGAGAAATAAATACCTCCTGAAGTGTATTTATATTAACCTTCAAGTTACACAATAAACCTTCATATGACTGATAATGTCAATGCATGCCCCAATGGGTATATGCAGTAATAAATGGCTTATACCATAGTACATTTGTTAATCTTTAAGGTGCCACAAAACTATATTAACATTTTAATTTAAATGTTTTCCAGAAATAAAATACCATTACACATAAAGCCAAATCTCATAAGAACTAAACACTGCAGAAGGCAAAAAAAAGAAAATTGATAGTAAAAAGTAAGAAAAATGACCTAAAAATCCATTGTACCAACAATGTGCAAATCTTTGTTTTCTCACTTCTGAATCAAGCAGACTAACAATGATCCCCTTGGCTACTTACTGCTGATGTGCATGGCATGCACCATTATATGCAAAGAGTGATTACTGTTCTGTATTTGTTTTCTTATTTACTTACGAATAATTCTTACAATTCATACAAATCTAAACACAAACGTAGAAACGGCGAACCTTAGAAGAGGCCACTGGGAAGCTCACTCTAAAGGACAAACATCTGAAATATTCACTTAAACCTTTTGGAAACAAATTGTCAAGGTTCAAAACTGAAACCTTTATTTCCTAAGGATTATCTTCTAATTTTCTGTAATTTTTCACTCACCCCAAAACAACAGCATTCAACATGTGACTGGTGGAGAGACAAGATGGCAGCGAGAGATCAATCTTATTTAGATAATGCACTGTCTATGTTTTGATTTCTATCTTAATTGCTTCTGGAGTTGCCTAGGAATGCTTCTAGCTACTCCTATTTTATTTTACTCAATTTATCTAATTTTATTTTAAGCATCTGTGACAAATTATTCATTGCTCTTTGAGATCTGGCAAAACCTGCTTGGATAGAACACCCACCCACCCTACAGCTTCTACATAAACAACAAACAGCAGAATCTTGGAGTAGTTTATACTCTGAGACTAACTGCAGTTTGCAAAAATGGAGGTGTGTGTGGAGGAGACCAAGAACAAGGTCAAGTCCACATTCTCCAGCCAAAGCAGCAATACAACTACAGATCCACGGCCTGATGTTTACAAAAGACCTGGTGAGCAATTCCTCTGCTGTCATAACTTCGAACATAAACAAGACTTCCAATTCAGATTCTGAAACCCATACGATTATAAAGTATTCCTTTTCAGCTTCGGATTAAGCCTCACAGGAACTGGGACCTTTAAACACTGACCTGGTCCATCAAGAGCCTGAAGGGGAAGCTTGTTCAGAATGCTGAGTTTCAACAGAACAGCCCTAAAATTCTCTTTTGGAGCTCATATCAAACCACTCTTCTCTCACTACAAAAACAATTATAAACATTTTTCAACAGTTTACCCATAACCCCAGTGAAACAGAGGCACTCTGATAAGCATTTGAAGCCTTTAACAAGAAGGTCTAAAATTCCCTACCTTTTCTGGCTGACAGAAGAACTCATGATAAGAATAATGTAACCACCTTATATCAAAATATTTCAATGCCACATGATTATCAACCAATGGAAAGGAGTAACCGGAAGTACAGTGGGGTCTTGACTTGAGAACTTAATCCGTATTGGAAGGCAGTTCTCAAGTCAAAAAGTCTGTAAGTCAAGTCTCCATTGACCTACAGTGCATTGAAAACCGATTAATCCCGTAACAGGCCGTTTTTGTTCCATTTTGGTTTTTTTCTGGTCTGTAAGTCAAATCTCAGTCTGCAAGTCAAACCTAAATTTTGCGGCCAGAGAAGTCTGTAACTCAAAAAGTCTGTAAGTCAAGCCGTCTGTAACTCAAGGGTCCACTTAGGAGGGAAATCTGGGGGAATCTGCAGGTATATTAGGAATGAATCAAATCATGTTAGATATATCTCAAAATTGTATAAACTCTGGATGCTGGACAAATAAGAAAAACATCCACTGCTCATTGAGCCAGCTACTAGGGTCCAGTATGAATACCATTGATCTTGATAAGGTTAGGAATAACGACAACTAGAGTCTTCACTGAGGAGACAATCCCTTCGTTCCTTGCAAGTAAAACTTAACTTCACTCCCCCACCCTCTGACTTGGAGCCTCCTGTCTCTTCGCTTAGCAATCTCAAAACTACACTGCAATATGGTGCAGGTAAAAAAAAAGGCGCAGCATACCAGCCAGCTTGTCTCAGTTAACGTTCTAGCCAGACCAGACTTAAATCACCTTGCTAACCCTTTAGAAAATGACACACACGCATGGCCTCCATATAGGAAGGCCTCCAGGATTCTAAGAAAACATGGTGTCCTGGGGCTATGGCTCTCCCTCCCTTTCCTTCCATACTTGCAGAGCAGATGCTGCCCTCAGACAGTGCTTGCTGCAAAGAAGCCCCAATACCCACATTAGCCCAGGACAGCAACGTCAATTGACTGAAAACGGCACCTTGGGGAAAATGTTGGGCTCCCCCCATAAACCTTTTCTTTGACTGCCTTGGAAAATGCCTGAGCAAGTGCTCATGGTCTGTGTTCTCCCACAGCAGCAGCAGCAGCCAGTTCTGATGAATTGATTCCACCCACTGCAGAGATGCCTGGCTGTGCAACGTATAATAATAAAGCACCTGCACCAGCGACACTCGTCGCTACTGGCTCTCCTTCCACACCTAATACCACATGCAAGACCACCTTCAGAAATCCTGTCAGGAGAGCCAACCAGAAAGAACAGTTCTGCCAATCTGGGCAAAACTGGGACTAGTCTACAATTGGCTGAGGACTCGAGAGCATGTGCGTCTACCTTGAGCCACATGAACGAGGATCACAGCCGGCCCCCGCAACTCAGTATTCAGAGGACACCAGCATACAGACCATAACCCGCGTCATGAACGGCTGCTTTTTTCTAGATCCTAGTGGTCAGTCAGAGAACATTTCAGAGGACTGAAACCACCTCGGAATGGCACCATCAGTCTCCTCTCTCATGGAACATATCTCAGAGCGTGGCAGGCAAGCTCTGAAGGTCTCTAGCTCAGGACCCACTCCTGGCCTTACGGATCTTTTTCAAGTTGATAACCTGCATGGCAGAATCCTCCATCCTTGGAGGAACTGCTTTCTACTCAGACAGCAAAGAAAGTAAAGAATATGAAGATGATGAACCCCTCAAAGCCACATGGGCCACCTATAAAGTCCTTTTAGGGGTATGCTCTGAGGCGGTTGTCAATAAAGTGGGCCCACAGCTCTTTGGTACCCTCTTGTGACAGGCCAGCTGCACCCAGGGGCAGAAGCTGCAGGCTGCCAGAGGCATATGACCCCAGATCCGCCTTTCTGCAGCCAACCTGAAGGTTCTGGTGATAAAGGTGACACAGACTGATCCCTGGTGGAGACTGGGAGGGTGAACATCAGGGGCGTACACAGGGATCCCAGAAACCAACATGTTAGTATCTGCATGCTGACCAGCCGCTTGCTCCAGAATAAACTACTTGAGACAACAAGATCATTCAGAAGCTCACTCCCTTGTTGAACTCAGAATCAGAAGAGCTTTGGCTCAAAGGAACGTTTTTCTTTATTGTGAGGATTCAAGGTCCCTGGATTCATAGAAAGAGGACAGCTGGAAGCCTTTGTTCCTGTCCTGTTGGAAACAGTAAAAGGCAGACATTCCGGCATCTGCTGCACGGCAGTGAAAAGTGTTGAGCACATGGTCTTTGTGGCACCGGATCAGGTGAAAGGAAAAAAAAAGGCCATTGTGAGCGTTGTGGTCTATGCGATGATATGGTGGTCCTTGAAAGTCTTGAAGCGCTTGCACTCCTTCACTTGAAAAGGAAGAATGTGCACCTCCTTTTAAAGGCATCTGCCTGCATATCTCAAAATACCTGTTTGACAAGGAGGAAGACACTTCACAGTACTGGATTCCATCACTCTGAGGTCTTGGCTAGCTGGGCCAAACAGGGGCACCAGAGCTTTTTTTGCGGATCAGGTGAAGCACATCTTGATATCCCTTCTCATCAATTAGTGACTTCAGTCCACAAACCTCTGCAGGTTTTCTAGCCAAAAACAGCTCCTTGAGAAACTGTCCTGGGCCACCTCAAGTCAGCAATTGACACTTATATGTCAACAGCTGGTCAAGGCACGTCCACAAATGAGCACGGACCTACTGAGGAGGACAGTGATCTACTCCCAGAGCGGGTAAGAAGAGGTCCGAACAAAAGCTCTGCAAATTTCAGAAGCCTTTCTAGCAAGCATGCCAGTCACAGATAAAACTACTTTGCATCTTCTTCTGACCACACTTGAAACATTGCAGCAGAATGCTGGCAGGAACCTCCAATTGGCAGCTGCAGCTCTGGAAGCCAAGAAGAGGGGAAAGCTTCATAGCATTGAAGAAGCTGCAGCAACTGGACAAACACTAGCAAAAATTCTGACTCCTATTTCAGGAGTCTCCTCTACTGCGGGTCGCCTCCAAACCATCAAGAATGAACACTTCACCCCATTAAAAAGAATGACAAAACTGGACACCAGGTGGAGGGACTTCTTATTCAAACAATAAATAATTTTGTTATTTATCTTTAAAAAACACAAAAAGCTATGTTTTGTATGCCTTTTAGAATCCATTCAACATTATGTATTAAACTCCAAGACATTTAAGAAACAGTTCATTGAATATTACAGAAATATCTGAAGCAGTAAATAAGTAAATCAGACATTTATCTATTTCATAGATTTCTATACCTCCCATTAGTCCCTTACTACTCGTATAGATAAAACCCTACATGTAAAACATCTTAAGAAGGGAATACACCTTCCAATATCAAAACTGACAGGAGACAGGCAGATGGATGTACAACTGCCATCCTTTCCTCATTTTCATATAGAAACATTCAAATTTCAAAGGAAAAGAAGAGGTTTCATAGAATACTGTACAGCACATGGCTCTGGCCATGTATGACAAGAGTTACAATTGTTAGATATGGTATGAGGACAGGCAAACACCGAGTCAAGCCATGTCCCCTTAACATTACTTCTACCGTGCATCCCACAAGCTATTATAATGCTCTGTTCACAGAATGTGGATGCAAAAAGATTTTTTTAATCAAATACATAGAAACATATACATGGATAGTGACAGAGGCAATTAAAAGCCAAAGCCCACTTGAATCTTTACTCAAAGCAGCTTCTAATAATTCAAAGTCACATCTTCATTATGTGTCTGCTGCTGAGTTGGAAGACGATAGGAAAGAATGTGGTCAGAATTAAAAGAGACAGTTGGCCTGCACTAATATATATACTGTACAGTATGATAATTTCCCCTTCTTTCCAAGAAACGATTGACCTGGAAAAAAAAACCAACCACAGGCACCCCCCACAGTAAAAGCACCCTAGTGCCCAACCTGCCTTCTACCCTGTGCCACCTGCCCAGCTGATACATCAGCCAAGGTTTCTGTAGGTCACCAAAGCAATGCCAGGCTGCCTCAAGGGGTCAGGTGATCAGAGTCCTCCCTGGGAAAAAATTCTTCACTGCTTCAAGCCCATTCCCTCGGTAGAATCAATCCCAGAAAGACCAACCACCTCCCCACATGGGAACAGTGACCACCAACTCTATACAAAGGCAAAACCTCCTTGCTGTGTAGACACAGGAGATCTAAAGAGAGTACCTTTGCACATACAGTTGTCCAGCATGGCCTTCAACTGTTGATTTTCCTCAGTCAGCCGTTGATTTTCTTCAGACAGTTGCACACACTAATGTTAGAATTTAAAAAAATCTGTGTTAGCTGGAAATAGCGCAACCTGAATGATGAAATGGCAGGGCTCAGGAATATGGGCACAGGACTACTCTCCTACTGAGGAAGCTAGGCCAGGGGCTCCCACCTCTCACCACGCAGCAAATGCAGCCCCCCCTTCACCAAGCTGTATTAGAAAAGCTTTTTGAGCACCCATCCCCTACAATGCAAGCTTCCAGCGGAGATACAACTAATACAAGACGACTCTTAAGCAAGCCTCAGCGGCAGTGTTCATACAGCTTGTGAAAACATGCACACAACCTGGTATTTTCAAGGTTACCCAGCAAAACCATGTCATGCTAAGCACAGAGAAAGTAACTAGTAGAAATTTAAATCAGGGGGCTACCTAGTTCAACCTCCTGCTCAATGCAATGCAGCTACTGTGTATCTGAGAAAAGATCCCCCATCCTGTGCCTTAAGTATCAGCAACAAAGACAATAACACTGGCCAAAATCCTACTGTACAATTATGCATGTGTGGCAGTTGTGTTAGTACTGTACTGAGACAGAAGAGCAATCCGTGAAGCATTTATGCTGGAACAGTGCACAACTGGCCATGCCAGGGGTGTTCAATTGACAACTCCATGCAGTAATTCATGCTAGTCTTAACTTTATGTTAGCTTCCCAGTAGTGTGGTGTATTGGATAGTGACGGAACAGAACTTTGGAGAACAGGATCTGAATTGCCACTTAGCCAAGGAAACTCTGGGGGGGGGGGGAGGGGAAGGGGTAAAGCCACTCCTATCTCACTTACCCTGAAAGCCCTATTAGGGTCCCTACAAGTTGGTTCTGACTTGACAACACAACTTTATGTCACGCCTCCATGGCCACAATCACCCAAAGTAGATCGCTTTGCCACCAAACTTTCACTTTCACTAGCTTTCCCCCCTAATGTCTGTTACTCTGCCATTTCTATCAGCTGTTTTCAGCCCTGCTGTCCCTAAACAGACTTGTTCTTGGTTGTTCTACCTTCTACATCACTGCCCTTCAGATATTTGAAGGCTGTTCTCATATCTGTCTTGAGAGCGCCTCTTTTTGCCAGCTATTGATGTTCAGTCCTTTCAGTGTCCTTCACAGTGCTGATTCCAGGCCCCAATCATTCTGTTCACTAGGCACACTGTGGTGTGTTCAATGCCTTCAACTTGAGGACCTCCAAACATTTGACAAGATGGCTGAAGTCCTTAAGCTAGTGAAGCAAGTTGATACACTCTCTGAACCTTACTCTCTTCCTCCTCCGGCCCAGTTCCCTTAGAGATTTAACTTCATTCAGTCTAAAGTTCAACAGCTGGTCCTGGCTCCTAACTTCTCTCATTGCCTGGGAAAGCTGAGCCTATGCTATGCTGTCCACCAACAGCTGCTCCCCAGCATTCAAAGCAACAGCATCACACACAGGCTCAGCAGAGCTGCATTTTGGAACTCACAGTTGCCGGACTGTTTCCTGAGCTTCACAATAGTTTTGCCAGGCAGATTCTATGCTGCAAAATAAGTTTGACCACCAACCTTGCATTATGCTCTTAACTACATTGTTTAGTTATTACACCAACTTACTGGTTTGCATGAAATATCTATATCCATTTCTCTTCCCAGTACCAGGACTGCAATCAGGAAAATTCATACTTATTTTTCTTAATGTATACTTGTTCAAGAAAAAACACAAATTCAGAATCCCATGTTTCAGAGTGTTCCCGCCCCCCACTACTTGAAATAGCACTGAGGAACTCTGTCCATCACCTGCCCTACCAGCCTTACCTTCAAGCAAAGTGCAACAGGCCCACTGCCTGGAACAGCCCTGGGAATCTGTCCAGCTGCCAGCAAAGTTCCCCCTGCATGTTTCTCCATCAGACCTAAATGCAAGACAAATGAGTTCTCGCCATTAGTCCTCTACGGACTGAAGTCCTACACCCTCGTTTTGTGCTGCCTGGGGTATGCAGGAGACGCAGGAAACCACACCCACACCCAGCTTTTGCTTTCCCTGACATGCATGTCTGAAAGGCTCAGCACTCTTCCTGCAGGAGAAACCGACTGAGCCAAGGGTGGGGATGTCTTTCGGTTACTGCCTCCCTCTACCGGTGATATGCTACACTGCATCATTTAGCAGCCACTTGGCTGACATGAGGTAGCAGTCCTAAAAACTCCCTGAGTAAAAAACACATTAAATTTAGCTGAGGAAAACAGGGCATCTATCCTGTAGCCCTGGATGGACAACTTTCTGATGCAACATACATTAAAAACATTTTTTTAAAACCCCATTGTGGCATTTTAAAGACAAAAAGATTCATTTCAGTGTGACCTTTAGTGCAGTGGTTCCCAACCTTGGCTCCCCAGATGTTCTTGGGCTACAACTCCCAGAAATCCTGCCCAGCACAGCGAGTGGCAAAGGCTTCTGGGAACTGCAGGTCAAGAGTGGGAACCACAGCTTTAGTGGATTACAATCCACTTCCTCAGACATCAGTAATCCACAAAGGCTCATAATGAATCAACTCTATTAATCTTTAGAATGCTGCAATATATATTATTTTTGTCTTGACTTTATAATACAAAAAAGCCTCCACAAAATCATGAAGTAAACTAACTGAACAGAGCATGACCAAATCTTCAGCGGGTTGGAAAAGGCCCACACGAAGACACTGTGTAGGTGGGAGGCTGTTGGCTGTGACAAGAAATAAGGGGCTGGGATTGAAGAGAATCAACCAGGAAACCGAGATTGAGAAGACAGTAGGTGAGCTTTAACCGCCCTGCTGTGTAACTCTTAGATCTGAGGGAGAGTGGGGTTTTGGAAGGGGAAGCCAACTGGCCTGTTGGGCACAGATCAGGAATAAAGTGCTGTGTTTCCTACTAATCCCACAGCCTCCTTCAATGGGCATGGGGAATCTCACAACCTGCCT